TGCAGCCCACGGCCCGTAGTCCGGCGGCTCGCCGCGGAAGAAGCCAGCCGTTTTAAAGAGAGAGAGGGGGGGAGCTGCCCCCCCGGGAAGAGGAGAATGCGTGTGTGTCTGGGAGAGAGAGAGCCAGTGTGCGTTGGCTCACACAGCCGGAGCGCTGCCAGAGGTCTTTAAACAAACAGCGAGACGCGCACAGGGGCCGCGCGAGGGAGAGAGAGCGCTCTGCCGTCGCTGTGCGAGAGGAGAGGAGCAGGAGCCCAGCCACACGATGGAGCAAACCTGATTTCTTCCCTTCGCTTTGTTTCCGGGCTCGGATTACACCGCTCCGAGTCCTCTCCGGCTGGGATTTCTGCTCAGCCTGCCCCCCCCTCCCGGGCCCGAGTTGCCGTGGAGAGGAATGTGAGACATCGCTGCCCGGGAGACGGGAGTCGGGAGAAAGTTTGGGCTCTTTGTTCCGCTGCTGTGCTGTGTGGAAGGGGTCTCCGGGGCTGTGCGCGTCCGCGTCCCAGCGGCTCTGCTTTCGGTACGCCCGTGTTCTGGCTGCGCTGCCGCCCTCCCTCCCTCTGTTCCGATCTCGTTCTGGAGAGGATTTTGTTGTTCCGGGAAGACGTGGGGCTCGGATCACCACTGGTCGCCGCTCACGCCAGAGACGTTTGAGCTCCAGTTTCGGGGATCCACGGAATTGTAAAAATAAAACATTGTGGAATATAAAGTCCATCTCCCTTCTTCCACGACTCCGGGCTTCCTGTCCCTTCAGATTCCATCTGGACAGATTTTGCAGACGGAGGAGAAAAGGCTCTCTCTGCACTGTGTCTGGTATCACACGGCGGTGTTGGAGAACCCAGAAGGAAATCTGCCCGCCCCCTCTCTCTCTCTCTCCCCCTCTCTCTCTCTCTCTCCACACTCCCTGCTCCCTCTCCCCCGATCCGTTTTTTGGGAACGGAAACCAGCATGATTGCGAGACTTCCTGTCTTTTAATACCAGGACAGGAAACTCCACAAACGAAGCTCGATTCAAATGAAAACAGGGGGAGAGGGAGGGAGGGAGGGAGAGAGAGTGAAGAAAGTGGGAGATTTTTACAGCAGCTGCAAACCATTTCAGCAGAGGACTAGCCTGAGAGAGAGCGAGACGAGCCGGTCTCGGAGCTGACCGCCCAGGCGAGCTGCAGGACACGTGTGGGATCTGGGGCTCGCAGCCGAGCCAGCTTGCCCCTGGAATGGAATCGCTCCGCGCGTCTGTGGGCACATCGGGGAGCTGAGGCCAGCTCGCAGACAGACTCCCGGAATCTCTCCAGTCCGCTCCGAGGGCTCCGCAGGAGCTGCGCTTTTCACTTCCTCAGCTGTAGCTCCCAGGAAAACGGACACCGGGAGAGGGCGAGGGGAGGATGAGGATGTGACACGGGCTGTGGGAACCGTCAGGGATGAACGTTGCCCGTTTCCTGTTTCCCGCTGTTGCCCCTGGGCACGGGCGTCCCTGGGGCTGGAGGTGGCGCTAGCCGGCGATGCCAGCGCGCGCGGCAAGCGAGTGTGCCGCCAGCGTCTCGGAGGGGTTCAACGACCGGCCTGCAGCGAGGATGGGGGACAGCGCGGAGAGGAGCCCACCCATGAGCAGCGTCTGCTCTCTTCCTGCGCCTCCTATTTCCCAGAGACTTGACAATTTGGACCTTGAACGTTCTGCTCCTTTTCCTAAACGGTAAGGCGATGCCTGCGGCTTGATCCCGAAACCGATAACAGATATTCCCGTGTCCCGGGGATCTCGGAGGGGATAGCGGCTTCTCTCCGAGAGGGACAACCAGAAGAGCAGGAGAAAAAGGACCGTTTCCGCAAATCCCAGATCCTGTTTTCCTTTTCTCCTCCTCCTCTCGCACGAACCCACCGCCTCGCTCTCGCCGTAAAAGGAGCGAGCAGCCCCCCCGGCCGCGGCCCCCCTTCCGCCCTTCCCGCCGTGGGGGGCGAGGGGGAGGAAGGAAGGGGCAGGGAGAGGGGGAGATGGGAGGGTCTCCCGGAGCCACGAGAGCCTGCCTCAGCCAGGACGTCCGGCGCTGAGCAGCCGCCCGCCTCTGGAAACTGAACCCCGCGCGCCCCGAAGAGTAGCGTCAGCCCCTGCAGTTCAGCCATGGGGAAGCCGCTGAGCCGGCCCGACTGCCTGCGCCAGAGCCCCCGCTGCCTGGGGAAGGGCGAGGAGGAGGAGGGCTACATCGAAGACTGCTACGTGCCCCAGCGCTCCATCTACGACACCATGCGCATCAACGAGCAGATCGACCAGGGTCCCAAGCTGGGCCAGCCCTCCCGGAGCACGCTGGGCTCGGCCGGGGGGGGCGAGGGCAGCACGCTGTCCAGCAACGGCACGCTGGGCGCCCGGGCGGGGGGCGTGTTCGAGGCCCGGCCCCCCGAGCCCGGCGCCAAGAAGCTGGACGAGAGGGTGATTTTCGATGCGCTGAAGCTGTCCAGCGACCCCCAGAGCAAGCCCCCGCCTGCCGCGTCGCCCCTGTCCGCCTCTGTTTCCGCCAGCTCGTCCTCTTCCTCCTCCTCCGCCGCCGCCCAGGGGGCAGCTGCAGTCCCCAAGCGGCGCCACCAGGGCGGCGACAAGAAGGACAACCCCAACCGCCGCTCCTGGAAGGCCTTCATGCCGCCCTCGTACCCGGAGTTCGCCGAGCGCCTGGAGCTCTCGCCAGGGGACCCTGCGGAGAAGCGGCTCTCTGGGGCGGGCATCCCCCTGTCTCCTGTCCTGCTGCCTTTGCTCGTACCCCAGCCTCCTCCTGGTCCCGCTCCCCCTCTTCCTGCCCTGCACCCGGCGTCCCCCACGTCCTCTGGGGTGCCTGAACTCTCCCCCCCCCTGCCCTCCGTCGCCCCCCAGTGGCCGAGCCAGCTGCCGGCTCCGAGGGCAGGTGGGCAGCAGCACCAGCTGCCGCAGAAGCAGCACAGACTGCAGCCGGGGGTCCCGGCCCCCCCGCGGCCCGCGGCCCTGCCCCCAGAGGGACAGAGGGACGAGGCCCGGGGAGAGATGAGGGGCCTGGCCGCGGCGCCCTTGCCCGGCTGGCGGCCCGCTGAAGCGCTGGGCAAGAGCGCGAGCTTGGACGAGCAGGAGAGCCGGGGCCGAGAGCCGGGCCAGGACAGCGCCCCCCTCTGGCCACCCCACAGGCCCCGAGTGCCGCCCCCGGCCCAATCTAGGACCTGGCCCCGTGGCCCGTCCGCCAGCCAGAAGCCCCTCCACAACTGCCCCGCTCTGCCCCCGCTGCCCCCCCGCCTCGGAGAGGAAAGTGACGAGGAGGAGGAAGGGGACCTCTTCCTCCTGGCCCCCCCCTCGCCGTTCCTGCTGGACAGGGAGACTCTGGGGTACCAGGGCCTGCCGCTGTCCCCCTGTCTGAGCCAGGAGGGAGGGGACGGGGGTCTCCTGGACTGGCCCCCCCCGGCCGGCGAGCTGCGGGAAAGGACGGCCTCCGAGCTGCGGTTCGAGGAGGACGAGATGCGGATCCTTCTGGAGCTGGAGGGCGAGGAGGGCGAGAGGGAGCTGCAGGAGGAGAGGGGCTGGCAGGCCGTGCTGCAGCTGCAGAGCAAGGGGAACCCCGAGGACCGCCGGGAGGGGAGCACCGAATTCCCCGCATTCCAGGACTGGGACTCTCATGCAGAGCAGGCGGCGGGGAGCTCCGTTTGTTGGCCCCTGCTGGCACCCCCTACTGGCTTTGGGGGGCCTGAACTCCAGCCCCAGCTTTCCTCCAGCCCCTACCCTCCCTCCCCGGTGGCCAACTCCGAGCCCGGCTCAGACGAGCTCTTCCTGGAGCTGGAGAGACAGTGCCAGGAGGAGGAGGCCGTGGCTTCGGCCCACCCGGAGTCAGAGGACCCCCGACACTCACCCCTGGAGC